GAGCTTCCTCTAAACATCATGGTGTTTGGGGTTTCAGTGGCGAAAGAGCTGGATTTTCCTGTTGGTTTCCCTTCAATTAAACCAAGGTGAAAAGGGTAGCCTCGAAAAGCCATGTTAATCTGCAAGGAGAGTGACTGGATTCAGATGAACCTTGAGCTTAAACAACCGTCGTGGTCATTCATGCTGGTTCCCTTACTGGAAACCCTGGTTAGCAATCCATTGCCAACGCAAAACTTCAAGTGCTTCGACCCCTGAATCTTCATCTTCACTGGTGGCATCGATCCTCCCTATCTACCAATCACATTGTCAGTTCAGTCGCTCTTATGTCTCGCTAATCACCCCCAACCTCAAGTAGTCTGGTTTGCAGCATGATGTTTTTTGGAGCTGGCACCCCTTTTTGGATGGTAAAAGGAAACCAAGAATCACCCCCACCCATCTCGGGCTACAAAAAGACAGCCCCATCTCTGAATGAACCGTTCACACCAAAAAAAGAAAGAGAAAACACGTTTCGACGCCCCGGCGAGGTCGCGCGATCGCGCCCTCGCGCCCTCCCGCCCTCCCGCCCTCGCGCACGCCGAGAGGCGCGATCCCGGTGGCGGCTGGCTTGGAGAAGAAGCAGAGATACAATCGCAAGGGGCTGGCCTCACGAAGTTGGCCACGAGTACGCCATTTGCTTAAGCCCGCTGAAAAAAAAAAAAAGTCCAGTGGTGATAGATTCCCTTTAAACCTGACAGGGGAAAACAATAAAACAAATATTCTTAAGCAAATGGAAGGTACGCCGAATTGATTTGGACTGGCCTGGCGGCCAGCTGTATCTGGGCAGGATCTAGACAGCATTAAACACGAATCACTGGGTGAGTTATTGTTGTCAACTTTTGATGGCTATGTCCCAGAAGAGGCCATCTGCGCAAAACAGGAAACATTCGAATGGCAGAACGGCCTGAAGCAGGGTGGTTGATAGAGCGGGCACTCGACATGTTCAATGCACATCTGATATGCTGTCATTCTTCCCCATAAACCTCCCCCCATAAGCCACTTTTCATGGGAAAGAGGATTGTTGTTACATGGTACCGTTGTTCATGGCTGATCTCCAAAACCTCTACAGCAACTTCCGAACGCGCTGGTTTGCTCGGGATGTTGAAAAGCCCGCGCGCCAGGTAGATGCGCTCACACTGGGGTGCGGGGATCCGCATGGATCCGCAATCCTAATCCGTAACCAGTGGGAAAACAACCTACCATGTGGCATCAGGATCTTGTGGATGGGTTTGGAATAATTAGCCCAGCCTTTGAGTTTGCTTCCAGGTTTTAACACCATACTCACTTCCAGAGTAGATTGGCCAGAAAACGTCCAAACTTGTTGTTTACCACTTAAATGGTCTTGCCAAAAAGTGTTGAGTCCAGGAACTCAGGAAGTGAGCAATGGCAGCACGCGGGACGAAAACTGCGCTTCTGACCTGGCCTGTAGCGGCAAAGAGGAGATCAAGCGCGCGTCGTACTGCCCTGTGCCGGCGTCCTCAAACGTGTTGGCAGCTTGGATGTTCCATCCACTTACGTGGGTTATAACCATGGTGATAGGGGAACCAACCCCTGTTACAGCCTTAGGGTCTAGCATCCCCGTATTAATAGTGCGGGGTCATGTTGCCTGTTGATAGGGTTCCACATTCGAGAAAGCGGATATCGAAGTTCACGAAGCAAAAGACATCCTTTTGTGTGATACCTTGGTTAGGGTTCTTTGCGTTCCCTGTTAGTCATTCGAGGGGGAGTGAATCAAAACCCCAAAGGCTGAACAAAAAAGACACACTCACGTTTTGCTGGATGTCCAAGAGAAACAAGTCAAGAGCAGCAACAAAATGCCACAGGCGACTGGACAACCGGTTCAGGGTTCCATTCCACCAACTGGGGGTGGAAATGGAAACATCACTCTCCTGACAGCATCCATGGTGAATTCACGACCTCGACTTTCCTTTGTCTATGTGTCAGGGTCAAGACTCCTTCTGTGGGTCATGGTCATGGTTCGAATCGATCAGTCTGCCGGTTATTCAGGTTTAAGGATCCTTTACTACCACATCCCTGTCAACCCCAAATGAAGGTGTCTTTTGACGGCACATATGAAGTTGTGGTCTACTCGTGTCTTTCCTCTGCGAAGAATTGAACTGAAGACCGGTGAATGGATCCTTGGCCAAAAACATCTGTCTGTTGGCAGTGTGCAAAACGAGCTCGGTACCCCTCCAAGGCGAACGCTTTCCTTTCTTTGCTTTATTTCAGTTCCATAAAAAGTCCAAAAGGAAAGCAGGCAAACGCCTTCAATCCAACCGAAGATGCTGCAAGCAGGAAGTTACCCTTTTGAGGTCAAGGCTGAACATCGGAAACCTGGATTGACCACAAGGCTTACTTCCCGTGGGCTGGGAAAAACACGTCAACTTGAAACTTGCCACTAACATGGTCCAAACCCAGAAAGCGACGAAAGTCCATGAGCTTGGGGTTCGCTGGCCACCAAAGAAGCCGCGCGCTTTGTTTGGACTGAGCTCAGGGCGGCGACCACCATGTCCACGGCGCTGTCCTGGCTATTTAGCGGGTCAAAATTTGGGGCGCTTGTTGGTATGCCCTTTAAAGGGCGGCACAAGGCGGCACCAGGGTCCAAAAAGGGACAGCACAGGTTTAACCACTCCCCTATGCAAACGCTCCAGGAACTCAGGGAGTGAGGTTTAAAGGGACATCGCAGCAAAGAAACGATGGGAACCACTGGAGCTGGTCTAGATCAGCTGGATTCAGCCGCAGCTAATGCATACGAGCAGCAAATGCAACAAACAAACACGCGACGTGCTGCAACAGGGCGGCTGCGCGTAAATCATCTGGTTGCACATGTAGGGGCTGGCGCTGGTCTGGATGCGCGCCTGGCAACGAATCACCTGGACAGTCGTCGTGGTCGTCTTTTCGCCAAGACCGTAAAAAAATGGGGTTTGGGGGGTACAAAATAGAACCCATGGGCGCGTCCGGTCCCGAGTGTCCGTGAAAGGGAGACATCGGATCCAGTTCGCGCCGCCTTGACATCCAGACTGCTTGAGATGGATGATGCCCTAAGAACCCATTTGACCCCTCCACACGAACACAGCACCAGGTCTGGACCATGTGTCCGAAGAACCGTGCCACTCAGAACCCCGCCATTTGGGCATTGTTGGTACCCATTGTTGCTAAGGCAACCGACATGAAACCAACCTGTTGAGGGTTTCCCAAGAGGCAAACCGTTTAGAAACCGGCATCCGAGACTCGGAATCGTCCCCCATATCCAAACAAACTGTGGGGTCAAGCTAAGAGGAGGTTTGAATTGCCTATTCAGACAATCCACCAACATAACATCACCATAAACACTTGATGGGAACTGCCCCCCCTTTCAAAAAACACGCTTTGTTTTTGGGTGAAAGGTTGAACAGTGCTAAATATCGCAGGGCTTGCCAACAAAAAGGCAAAGTCTCAGCTGACTTTAACGTGAAACCCAAAGGACCCCTGTTGAGTTGCCCCTTGAGACATACCTTGCAAATGCAAACCACCCCAGCTGCAAAGAATGTTTCAGTTGAGACAAATGCTAAGCAAACTGAGGAGTCGCGGCTGAGTAGGGGCCGTCCTCCAGACCCGCTTGTCAAGACTGAGAAGTACGTGGAGCCTGATCCTGCGCCAAAGCCATACTTTGCACCAAAGCCGGTTATTTCTCGGCCACCACACATCCAGAAAAAAAACGAGCTTAATGTTGAAAGCACGGCTTTTACAAGTGATCCTGGACCCAAATCTCCACTCCTGTTCATTCACATAGCCATCATCAAACATATTCTCGTAAAAGTAGACCAGAGCATTGACTCAGACACTCGCATGCCAAGAACCCTCGCCAAAACCGCTCCCGGACGCACTTTCCAGCCCGCTCGCGAGACAGCGCCGTCTCAGCTTGGGACGGCACTCGGGGGCGGCCAAGTGCGAAGTGCGCACAGCAGTCTGCCGTGAAGTCTGTAGGGCGCATGTTTGGCAAGAAAGGAGGTATGCTTAAAGGAAAGTCGCCAAACAAAAAGGGATCCGTCCTGTGTTTGTTTCCATGAGCCAAAGGATTTTTGCCTTGTTTTTCAAAAGACAAACACTAGGACGTGAGCTGCGTCAATGCCGAGATTGCACGGTTGCGTCTTTCAATTATTGCTTTGTTTTGCGGGTCATAGGCCTTGCAGTTGCTTCCGTTTCCACCTTCTCAAATTCACCCTGCGAACTCAACCAAGCAGTCAACCATTGAATTGGGCGGATAGCGCCACGGAAGTTCCTTAGATTCTATCAAACGGGTTTCTTGTTCGGAGGATATCACAGAAGAAACCACAAATGCTTTAACATGATGACGAATCGCAAATACCGACTGGCCATTCATCTGTTGCACGCAACGGAGAAGATCAACACATAACACAAACATCCCTGGCACGATATGAGTGTCTTGTCCTTCGTCCCCAACTGCGTCTCATGAAAGCACAGTCACAGCGGCAAACGAGACATCCCAGACTGTCGTCCATCTCAAAACATGCCACATACACCTGACACACCCTCAATCATGCAGCACAAGTGTGGGAAGTCTCCCAAGTCCTTGTGGCTGCCGCTTTCGGGGTGGGGTGATCTAAGGGAGGGGATTCGGAGACTCACCCCAGACTGCCCTGCGTTGCATCGGGCGCAACTGTACAGCCCGCGGCTCACGGCAGCTCTGCGAATCGAATCCTGCATGCCCGCGGCCCGACTCGGTCTCGGAGCTTCAATGAAGCTTGATCTCTATAGCTAACCGGGGCAACTGGGTCACTGCAACCCTGAAATGTTGACCCCATATTTATCAACCAGGGTATTAATCGGGGGGTGGCTTTGGCACCTCCAAAAGTGGTCTGATTCCAACCACTAAGCCCAGAATCGGACACCCCCCCTATTCATATACAGGTTGGTTGATGGGGTCAACGTTCGCCGCCGGGAACACGATGCCCTTGCTCCTCTCATCCGATGAGGCGCCGTCGTTCCAAAGGCGCCTCCTCCAGACAGAGTCGCCCCGCTTTGGCCCAGCCGAAGCCCATGACGTGGCGGTGGGGCCAGTGGGAGGTGGTCACTCCTCGCTCCGAGAGCGGCACGCTTAAAACGCGTGTGGTTGGAGAGCCACCGGAAATTGGGTCAGATTCTAGATTCTAACTGGGTGGCTTGCCTTGGTGCCCCTTTTTGGGAGGTTTTACATGGAAACCAAAGGGAAAGCCGGGTTGCCGTGTTGGAGGGTCCCCTAACAAAAGACACACCCAAATGCATTCGAAGTGGGGCATCCAAGACTTGGACCAACATTTGGGAATGTGTAAAATGAGACGGTGGGTGGCCTGTAATTACAGCGCACCTCATTGGGACAAAAATCAGAAGGCCCTGGCTAGATGTTTGGGCGTGCTTTGGTTTACGCAGGTTATGCTGTGATCTGGCTCCAGCTGTACCATCCTTCACGCAGCATGGCAAATGTTGTGCCTTCAACACGTTAGTTGCAACAATGGAAACAACTCTTCTGGCATGGCTTGGTTCGTCCCACCGCTTGGTGTCTTTTGGCTCGCCTTTGGCCAAACCACGCTAGTTTCGGGAAAGGTTGGGTTTGTGAGCTCGACAAGGTTGGAGCAACGACAGAACACCGCGGCGTCCACCACATAAACCGCACGCGATCCAAGCAGTATAGAGACGTGTCTGAAACACTGAGGGCTTGATCAAAAGGTCCGCTAAACACGGGGTGACCATGAGGGAAAGCACCGACCACATGGGAAAAGTTACCCATGGTCATTTTGGGGCCGAAGGGAACATTGATCAACACCCAAATAACCGCACCGCGGAATTGCGAGCGATTTTGCGTCTTCCCAAACAAACATGCAGAGCACGGCGAGCGCATGACAAACAGCAAACACAGCACCTCAAAAGATCACTAATCATGCTGAAAAGCGCGCCACAATGAATCAACACACGCACACACACCACCAATAACCCATGGCTGGCCAATGCAAAAGGTGTCAACACGAACACGCACACATAAGCTCCGACCGAACGGTCTATGCAAAAGGCATATGATGCAGCACAATGATGCTTTATTTGAGCTTACTCACCAACGCCACGAATACAGGCCCATTCCAAGGCATACTTTCGACTTTAGACATACTGTAGACATTCCAACACGTCTTTCGTCAAACATGGGCCACCTATGTCTGTCCCCCGAAAGCTTTTCCATAAAGCCAAACAGCGGGGTTCTACCATGGTCCACATTTATGTGCACACCGGGCCTGCCGAGTGGTCACAACGGTACATCATCTCCAGCATGAAGATGTGGAAAGAGAGACAGTGTTGATTGAGCAACTCCCACCCATGAGACTGGTTTGTTCGCGAAACAGGTTGTTTTGTAGCCCCAACTGAAGATCAACCAAACCGACTCAAACACGTGCAAAGAAACATGACGATCATTTGTGGTCATGTGAGTTTGGGTCATCCCAAGGAATCTCTCAACTGCGGTGCCACAAATGGAACGCCGCAAAACTTCAACAAAAGGTTGCTTAAGATGCAACTCCAGACTAAAAACAACAACATGCATGGTGATTCCCTGAAACCAACAAACACAACTGCACAATCATCAAGAAGAACCGATCCCCAACTCCGAATTCCCACTAACACTCTTCCCTCTTGAGGTCGCTATAATTTCCTCAGCCCCACTTTCTACACCTCGACAACTGTTGGCCAAATTCCAGCGCCCGTCGCATGCCGCAGCTCGGCCCAAGGCGCGCAGCTCATAGCCCTTGCGGCGCTGCTCCAAAGCCTTCTCGGGGCACCAGGCCTTCGGGGTCATGCACACGTAGACGCAGGCCTCAGTTTCGGCTCGTGTTCGCTCCAAATCGATTTTTACCCACCAAGAGGAGACCTAAAAGGGCAAAGGGTTCCAGATTGAATGCGGGTTTTTGGAAGGTGTGGGTCTGTGGTAGAGCGCTGGGGACTGGTTGATGCATGGTGCTGCGCTGGCAATGTTCAGCCTCATCTAGGAATCACAAATTGGGCGAATCATAAATCAGAATTCACACAACCCAAAATGCAGCATTTACCCTATTAAGCGGAGGTCGCAAACTCGCTTTATCAAGTCGGTAAAGCTTGTCCAGCTTGGTGTATTTGCCTAAAAACTAACAGACGTGCCCGAATAGGTGTCCGGGCAAGGAACAACGGAAGGAGCCGGAACCGTTCCCTAAAGGAACCGCGGGAAGCTGGCATTCTCGCAATAGCAAAACACCAAGCAACATGGCAACACGCAAGGTCAACACTTTTCAGAAACCAGTTGCCATCGTTCTGAGAGGATCATGGTCTACCGCATCAGCTCTTGCGTCAGTCATTCTCACAAGCGCCCTTGGGGTACGTGTCAATTAGGGAACCTCTTTGATGTCCTTTTTAAGACCAACCCAAAAAGGTTACCCTCCAAAACACACACACGGATGTCTGAGATCAGCGTGGCACCTGTGGTTCCGGGCCCTCAGCAGTTCGTCGCGGGGCCGGTCCGGCATGTCGCTCGCGGGGGTGTTGCAGTGCAGGCACCGGCTATCCTGCCGCCCGGAAAACTTGGGCAACGCTCCCACGTCCGGAAAAAGGTAGAATGCTGATAATTCACATGTCAAAATGAAGCTTTGGCAAACGGTCGTAACCCGTCAACTGCCTTGAGAGGCTTAAACAATCGAGACAGACCCAAGCAAGTGTTGAGAAAGATTGCGATTGTTTTCCCACTACGTTTGCTTGTTCTTCGTATACCATGAGGCGAATGTGTTGCTGATTCCTTTAGCAGCCGGTTAGTTCGTCACTCATCGGATCAAAGACGCGCACAGACAATCAAACAAGTCAAGACAAATCAAAATCAAATCAAGCCAAAACAGCAATCAGTCAGCAATCAGCCAGCCAGCCAAGCAAGCAACCAACCAACCAACCAACCAACCAACCAATCAACCAACCAACCAATCAACCAACCCAACCCGAACCAACTTTGAACCAACCCCACCCACCCAGCCACGCCGCCCACCCGCCCGCCCACCCACTCACCCCAACAGCGCGTGGCTTTGGCCCCCGCTTCCTCTTCCGACGCCAACGAGCCAACGAACCAACGAACCAACCAACCAACGAACAAACGAACGAACCAACCAACCAACCAACCAACCAACCAACCAGGCAAGCAGGCAGGCAGGCAGGCTGGCAGGCAAGCAAGCAAGCAAGCAGTGTAGCAGTGATTCAATGAAGCAATGACGCAATGAAGCAGTGCAGCAATGAAGAAATGCAGCAACAACAGAATGAATGAATGAATGAATGAATGAATGAATGAATGAATGAATGAATGAATGAATGAATGAATGAATGAATGAATGAATGAATGAATGAATGAATGAATGAATGAATGAATGAATGAATGAATGAATGAATGAATGAATGAATGAATGAATGAATGAATGAATGAATGAATGAATGAATGAATGAATGAATGAATGAATGAATGAATGAATGAATGAATGAATGAATGAATGAATGAATGAATGAAGGAAGGAAGGAAGGAATGAATGAATGAATGAATGAATGAATGAATGAATGAATGAATGAATGAATGAATGAATGAATGAATGAATGAATGAATGAATGAATGAATGAATGAATGACTGACTGACTGACTGACTGACTGACTGACTGACTGACTGACTGACTGACTGACTGACTGACTGAATGAATGAATGAATGAATGAATGAATGAATGAATGAATGAATGAATGAATCAATGAATCAATGAATCAATGAATCAATGAATCAATGAATGAATGAATGAATGAATGAATGAATGAATGAATGAATGAATGAATGAATGAATGAATGAATGAATGAATGCATGCATGAATGCATGAATGCATGAATGCATGAATGCATGAATGCATGCATGAATGAGGGAATGAATGAGAGAATGAATGAGGGAATGAGGGAAAGAGGGAACGAGGGAATGAGGGAATGAGGGAACGAGGGAACGAGGGAACGAGGGAATGAAAGAATGAACGAATGAATGAATGAATGAATCAATGAATCAATCAATTAATCAATTAACCAATTACTCAGATAAAAAACCAACCAACCAACCAACCAATCAAAACAAGCAATCAAGCAGTCAAGCAATCACCCGTAGAGCAATGAGTCAATGAACTAATGAACACAATTGAAGCAACTCAGCCATTCAATTCAACCAACCAAAACAATCAAAAAGCCAATCAGTCAAGCAAGCGAAGCAAGCAATCAAACAAGCAGACAATCTGCGATTCCAGCAACTCTCAACCCACAGGTAGTCCCAATCAGAGTAGGCCAACGTAGCCCTCGCCTTTTTGACCCTAGCACAAAAATATGCTTGTCACCCCCCCCTCCCTCGAATCCGCATCCGACCCTCCGACCATCCGACCCGACCGGATGCCGTCGGTCCCAGAGGACGAGGTCCCCCGCTCTGCAGCTCACCAAGGTCTCCGGCAGCTCCAGCAGCGGATGGTCCTCCGGCACGCCGATGAAGTCCTCGCCGCCTGGAGGAAACCCGCGGGAAGCTCAGCAGAAAACGGCCAAAACCCCTGGATTTGTATGGGTGTTTGTGGAAAGAATGCCCAAACCCCATTGACTTTGACTTTGGGTGTTTGGGAAAAACACATGCTAAACTTCGAAACCCGCGGGAAGCTCAGGAACACAAACCATGCCAACACTAGTTGTTTTTTGCTGAATGTGGAATCTTGAGGAAACACTGCCGAAACCCCTTGATGTTTATGGGTGTTTGCGAAAAAAGGCCAACACCCATTTATTGTTCTGGGTGTTTGGGAAGCAAGGCCCAAACCCATGCCATTGACGTTTATTGGTGTTCGGACGAAAGTCCCGTAGAATTTCCTGCTGGATTCGCCTAAGGCGCTGAAACCAGCACATTGCAACCCAAGAAAAACCCGAATCGTCAAAGAGCGGAAACAAATGTAGACTGACCATTGAACTGGGATCAAAGTGGATCAAACTCGCAGAGCTGTTTGAGAAAAGGACCCATGGGATATTCAGAGAGCCTCCATTCCTTCAGCTTCGAACCAAACCGACTCTCGGTGCGACTGCCTTTGCTGAGCTCGCAAAGCTCCTGGTGTCGCAGGTGGCTTTTGGGCTTGACTACGAGCCCGCCCGTGCGCTCGTTCTGGTCCTCGGCGTGTATATATATATATGGTGTGTCTGTTTTCAGGGGACCCCCAAAAAAGTGGTTTGCCTGTTTTCCCTTTAAAACCACCACAACATGGGGGGGGGTACCATCAAAGAAAGACGCACCCAATACATGCAAGAAGCACTGGTTTCAGTCAAGACGGCCACCAGGCCAGAAATGCTGGTTTTTCTTCGGGTACCTGTTCACTTTTCATTTGATTCGGTGGGGATGTCGGACGTAGAGGGAATCCCTGCCAAATTGCTGTTCAACTTGTCTCAATCAAAACAGCTATTACGATTGGCATCCCCGCAGAGCCTGTGGGAATCGTGTTGGCCAAAGCGGACCACCGGCCACAAGCCGGAGAAATTGACAGTATCCATGGACAAACGGAACGAGCACCTCCCTGAGAAATATGTCTTTCTGAGAAATGTCCAAACGCGGACCATGTGACTGAGAGAAAGTCAGGTGTCACTGGATGTCCCTTCAAAAGTTAGCAGTTCACCTGTGAAATCCAACCAAGATGTCACTTTAGCTTCGGAAAAGGGAAGAATCGCAGCCCTGACTCAGCTTCCCCCTCATTGGTGGTTTGGATCGGTGGCTTCCGAGGCTCGTACAAAGACACCAGGCCCTGCACGCAGCAGCGGCCCTGCTGCGTGGCGCCCTGGTCCACGTGGAACCAGCCCCCTTCCGTTTTCGAGAAGCCTCGAGGCGAAAGGCGCGTGGTTTTCGTTTTTGTGTTGAGACATGTGTGTGCGTGTGTGTGCGGGTCCTTATCCCATTTGGAGACAGACTCATACGTGTGGGGCTGAGGCCTGCTTTGGTTTTCCATTAAACCAACCAAAAGACTCTTCTCCGGAGAGAGAGAGACACACGGACTTAACCACACACACCCACACATGGGCTTCCCTTTGGCTTCGCTTTAAAGAAACTCCGCAAGAGTACCATCACAAAAAGGCTCAGGCAGGTCTGGGTCATGTATTTTTTAAAATGGAAGCCCTCATGCCTAACTCCCAAACTCCCCAACACTCAAACGGGACACTCCGGTCATCAGGTTCAGACGAATCCCTATCGTCCAAATCTTCCATAAGAAACCCATTGGAATACCACGATCGCCGCTAGGCAGCCATGGAGCCGTCCATGTGATCGAATGCAAGTACGACCCATGGGGGGAAAATAAACCTGATTCAATATACCCTCCCATTGAACATGGAACCTGACGTAAAAGGGGGTCTGTTTAGGAGAATGGTCCAAACCAGGGCCCCCCTCTTACCTCAGGTTCCATGCGAATTGGTGGGAGGGTGCATGGGCAAACATAAGGCAACTAATAAAACAAAAGCCCTCGCACCACCTAACATGAAAGTGCAAAAAGGCCCTTTCCAAGAGGAAAGTAGTCTTTCTACAGGGGTCTGTGCACTTCCATGTTAGCTGGTGGGAGGGTAGACAAATCGATACGAAGGCAACAGGAGCGCCAAGCGCTGATCTGACACTTTTGCGCTGATCTGAGGCCGCTCCCTTGGCCCGCAAACCGAAAGGATTCTATGGTTGCCAAACAGAATCCATTCCATAGTTCTGACCTGCAAATATCACCCCAAAAGTCACTCACAACTTACCTTCCCCAAAGGTGATGCTAAAGGTTACACAAAGAAATAATGAGAAATATATTAATATAGGCACTGCCAAAAGTGGATACCTCTTCAGGATCAGTTTGGAGATGATTTAAGCTGCTGAGTTGACTTGCCGACAACAAATAGGAACGCGGCACCTACGACATCGGGCATTTTCAGGGGTGGTGTTTAAAGCCGCCGTTTTGTGAACTCCATATCCAATCCAAATGCAGACCGGACCCCCCCCCCAATCCCCAAATGGCGGCTTTCCTTCTGGCTTTCCCTTAAAACAACCCGAAGAGGCTGATTACCCTCAAAGAATATGCACACAAAGAACACACACCCACATGGCTGTGGGTCAAAAATGGGTGCCCAAAATGGAACCCTGGTAAATGGCCACAAAGAGTAAAACCGCGTAACCCTCGCTCTTTACTTTGAGCCACACACGCGCATGTTTCTTTCGCGCCTGCGTGCCAGGGGCGAAATACGTTGATGCCGTCAAAGGAGGTGATCAGCTCGTCAGTGCCCCAAATGCCAGCGAAGGCTTGCTGGACCTCCGAGTGAAATTGGGCTGTGTCGGCAAAACAAAAGCGGTCTGCAGGCCAAGACCAAGCCAAGAAACCACAAAACAAGAAACACAGATTGAGGGGCAACTCCGCACATTAAATGGAACTCAATTAGGCTGGCCACAAAAATGAGACTCCTCTAGATAGCGGCTTTGGGGTTCGATGCTCATCAGGGGGTACAGATTCCTAAGACGGTGCTCCTATGATCATAGCTTGAAACGGTGTTAGAGTTCCCCAGAACCCGAATTAATCATTTAGCTTCAGCAAAACCGACACGTGATTCATGTGAGGCCCTGGCAAACTCAATGGCGAAGGAAACATCCATCCATCCTCTCGGATTCTCGACACGCGACAAACACTTGACCATGGGTGTGCTTTTGGACAAACACGTGGCCTAAATGGAATAAAAATAAAACAAATCTAAACCAATGCCATCTATGTCAAACCAAACTAGCCTACAAATGTTGGACCCCTATGCACTTGACTCATGCGTTCATGTCATGTCCCTCGCTGATAAACTGCTCCAAGGCCGGCAAGGCACCTTTGCTCGCGTTCGGATGAACCAGGAAAGATCGCATTGGCCAACCTTGGCTGTCCACTGGCGGATCCCAAAGCAACTTGCGGCGTGTCCCCTTGATCTTGTTTTTGCCCAAATTGCTTTCCCTGTCCAGCATGGAACCTGACTCATGGGTGGAAGACTATTCCTCAAGCGGGGCGGTGTACTGGGTTCCATGGCATTTGTGGACAGGGCAAAGGAACCGTTGAACGTGGACAATGGCTCAAAGTCGAAGAAGCAGCGCAAAAGGTCAGAAAGGCCCGTCTCTTCTCATTCCATAGGCGCCCAAGAAAGCTGCACAAGGAGTTGACCAAAAAAGTGCTGGACCCTGCCTTCAAGGAAGCTCTGCATGTCCTGGTGACGATACCCAGTCATGTGTCCCTTAAGTGTGCTGCGGTACACATATTCACCTTTGCTGGCTCAGGATCCTTGTACCCGGGGGGGTACAACACGTTTGTGGCCGTGCCTCATATGTGCCTCATGCTGCTGGGGATATCACCTCAGCTCACGTTCATTCTAGCCCAGAAATCGGATTTTAAGCTTGTCCTTTCGGTTTCCTCTCGAAAACCACCCCATAGCCTTTTGGTTTTCCTCTTAACACCGCCCCAAACTGGGCGCCACATCCCCCAAAACCAACCGGCGAGCCGAGCGCCGTCCCGACGGCTTCGGCCCAGCCGCCCCGCGGCCGTTGATGATGCCGCGCCAGGGCTGGCCCAGGCGCGCCAAGGAGTCGTCCGTCCAGGTGTCCGGCGCCCGGCGCTGCCACGCCGCCTCCGGCCGAATGTGTTTATATATATATATATGTATACAGACATATACATAGACATTTGCATATGTATATATATATATACATACAAATGAAAATACATATGTACACGTACAATAACCTATGTATGCATGTACATCCCGTATACATATATATATATATTTATATAATATAAATATGTATATGTGGCACCCCCGAGAAAAACTGAAACAACCCATGATTCACTGGCATTGGCATTCACTTCGTACTCTATATAAATGTGGTACCCCACAAGACACCTTTAAACAAATAGCATGTCTGGCATTTGGCGATACTCCCCACTAATCCCCATCAAGCCAAAAATGACCTTAAACAAAAAACAAGCCCTCCTCCCCACTAAAAATCATCAAGAAGTAGCAAATTCCAGTCTTTGGGAATGTTGCGCAACATTCCTCTCCAGCTATGGCCGGGGGGCAGTATTTGTTCTTTTGTTGTTTTTGATGTTTGTTTCTTTGGTTCAGTGGACATCTTGCGCAACAGTTCCCAAATCATGCTGGCCAACATTTGGCAAACCAACCAATCAAGTACCCTTAATTGGTGGTTTTGATTGGTGGTGCGGGGGGGGGGGTTAACCACAGCTCCGTTTGAAGCCAAATGGGGAAGGCACCCCAGTAACCTCCAAACCACCGCGCCAAACCACCAATTGAGGGTAAGGCCATAAAAAGGCTACAAAAATACATCCGGCGCAAGTGTTTTTGATTTGTTGGTCCAGTGGACATGTTGCGCAACAATTACCAAGTAGTGCGCAACATGTTGCGAAAACATCTGAGAGCCTCAAATGCGACTTGTTTCAAACTCTTTCATTTTCGGGACAGGTCTGTTTCAAATACTTATTTGACTGGCGGAATGGAAGAGAAAACCAACACAAAGAGAGCAGCCCAATGATTCTTGCCAAACAGGTCGCTGACCCAGGCCGTCCGTTTTCTGATCCCCTGCTAAAAGTGAATAAGTTTTAGTGGGTTAAATGAAAACCCAACCACTAAACTAGCTAAAAGGTACCGGGTATTTACCCACCGCATGTCCGAGTGCTCACGCTCACACGCATCACGTCGGAGCTGCACCCGCGCAGGCACATGATAGGCACGCCCGCTCATGCGCATCACGCTAGATCTGCACGCACGTTGGCACATAATAAGCACACCCGCTCACGCGAATCAAGTCAGAGCTGCACGCACGCCGACGCATGACATGCACGCCCGCTCGCACGCACTTTGGCGCGCGCTCCCACGCATCATGTCCGAGCTGCACGCACGCTGGCACGTGATAAGCACACCCGCCACGCTTATCACGGCGTGATAGGCATACCAGCTCTTTCGCATCGCGTCAGAGCTGCACGCACGCTGGCATATGATAAGCGCCCCACTCGCGCGCGTCACGTCACAGCTGCACGCATGCTGGCACATGATAAGCACACGCGCTCTCACGCATCATGTCCGACCTGCATGCACGCTGGCACGTAATATGCACACCCGCTCACGCGCATCAAGTCAGAGCTGCAGGAGCGCTGGCACAAAAGCAGCACACCCTCTCACGCTTATCACGTCAGAGCTGCACGCACGCTGGCACATGATAAGCGCACCCACTCCCGCGCGTCACGTCAGAGCTGCACGCACGCTGGCGCATAATCTGCACACCCGCTCACGCGCATCACGTCAGAGCTGCACGCCTGTAGGCCCATGATAAGCACACCCGCTCACTGCCATGTGTGCTGACTTGTCTCAGAACTACACATTGTTGACCTGAGATTCAGCTGGCCTAAGCTAGTTACAGGGATGTCCCACACCCCAGCAACATGCGTACTTGTCAAACTGCCTGGGAATGGACGCACGAGCTCTGAGGACATGCAGCAAAGCGCGCGGGTGTCTATGTCCCGGCGCGATCTAAAAACCTCTAAAAGCCAAAGGAACCGGATGCACCAGGGAAAATCGACAGTTCTGAACTTGGAGAAAAACAAGGTGATGGCTAGACGTTAGCACCAAGCCCTGTTGGCTTTCTGCCGAACCTGACTCCTCGTTCAAAGGCACCCAACAAGCCGTTTGCAAGGCGGCTCCCCTCGATTTCCTCTTTTTACATTGAGGTTTGCCAAGAGATAACCGTAGAAATTGAAGCATCTTTTGGTTTGAAGCATCGACTCAGTTTGCAAGGCGGCTCCGGGCTCCCCCCTCCCTCCCCCAGCTCCCCTCCCCCCTCCCCCTCCCCTTTCCCCCTCCCCTCCCCCCCTCCCCCCCTCCCCCCATGCCAGCCTCGGCATGGAGGAAGTCCCACAGAAGATCCTCGGCTACCTGGAGCTCCTCGCATCTCGTTGGCACCAGTCCAACTCATATATGTGAGCACCAGCAAAAAAATAGGCTGGCGGTTAGTTCTGCAAAGACATACAAACATTCATAGGTCTACATAGGCCTTCCTATGACCCCCATATGAAGAGTACTATAGTACTATAGTACTAGTACTAGTAGTAGTAGTAGTAGTAGCAGCAGCAGCAGTAGGAGGAGCGCAGCAGTAGCAGTACCAGCAGTAGGAGTAGTACACCCCAACATGGCGAATAGGGTTTATAAACCCTGCTCATGTGGTTTTCAACCCAAGCCTCATGCAGGGGGGCACTATTTGTCACCCTTTGTGGCTTGTTCAAGTGCAGGGAACCCATGGAAACAACCGATGGTTTTCTAAAGGGCGGTCCCCATTTCAGCGATCCGAGAACTCTCCGATCGAATCCGCGGAGTCCTGCGCGCCCAGCACCTGTGGAACCTCACGTGAAACTGAGCCCTGCCCCCATCCACCCCTGTGGCAAAGACCCCATCGCTTGCAGCTGGTGGGGAAAAGGAACTCATGTTATATGCCTGCAATTTACAGGTCAAAACGGCCTTGGAGACTCTAGGCATTGTCTTTTCATTGATGGTTTCTCAGTGAATGTGGAAGTCCACCACACAGGTACTAAGATTTGAAAGGGGCAAGCTGATGATGACATGCTACGTAAAAGTCACTTAGATGAAGGAGAAGATCATAGGGTGGCCTCACCGTCAATTTCCTTTTCGCCGAGGGAACATAACAATCAACAGAACATCTACCAGGGTGGTCCCCCCTTCTTCTCGATTCCACGAGGAATGCAAACATGCTCAATGAGTTCATCAGCGCCCGGGTACTTTCCCCGAATCCAGCCTATTGTTCCCGGGAAGAATCATATACAAAAGATTCGGCTGTAACTGTAACCTCCCCCATTCTCTTCAAATACTCTTGTTGCAACTGAGCCCCCGCTTTTTCACACGCAGAGGCGGCTTCACATCATGAACAATCCCCTTCACGAGTTCGACCAACAATCTCTCTGGAACGTCAATGAGGCTCTTTTCAGGCTCTCTCTCTCTCTCTCTTTCTCCCTCTCTCTCTGTTTGAAGGGTTAGCAAAAGGAAGGCTTCGAGGCAACCCATAGACATAAACAATGGATGCAAATAACGTCATACTATTCTGCAGGCTGTCTTGAAGCCTGAGTTTGCCCTTTCAGCTCCGGCTCTTGGGCCAAGGCGCCACAGCATAGCCATACTCCGCCAAATGCTCCAAATAGTTCTGCCTGCCAAAACCAACAAACTCACTTGGTGGTCATAGGCCCCCTTCGCAAGCGAAAAAAACAACGTAAACTTCTTCTTGGTGAGTTCCCGAGCATGTGAACTGGCTCCAACGTTGGGAGCCACTGCAACTGCAGTGCTGCAGGTCAGCGAAGCTCCACATCCTTTAAACTGGTGTTTCTCATGTGTCATTCTCACTCCATGAGTGGATTGGCAAAACAAAGTAACCAGACTCTTTTTTTTCCCTCTAAAGCGGTCCAAACCCAAAAGGCGACTAACGTCCGAACCGGAACTCAGGGAGTGTTTTCTCAGTGCGCACTCGTCTGACCTCGCAACGGACCATCGGAGAGATCCTACCCCGCGGTGGAGCGACTTCCGTAGGGTACATCTTCTTGCCCTTGGGCGAGAAGGCATCGAAACTCCCGCGGTTTCGCGAAAAAAAAGAAACAAGAAGCGCCGTTTGCCTGAAAAACGGCCGTTTCACAAAACGCCCGTTCAACAGTCGGGAAAAGTTGCCGTTTGGATGGGAAAAGTGGCCGTTGGGACTGGTGAAATTGCCGCTTCGATTTGGCAAGCGACCGCCTGCCATGCTCAACTTGCAAAAGTGCTGTTTTGCAAAAAAACGTGCCGTCTCGATGAAAAACATTGCTTCTAACCGAACAGCAGAAAGAAGTACCCGCCGGAAAGCCACAGGTATGTACATATGGGCGGCTGGTCTTGTTTGGTTGAGTTGGTACCTGCCTGTCGGTTGGTTGTGTTCAAGGAAAACATAAAGGCAACCACACCCATTGGTTGGGGTCCGCTCAAAAAGGCAAACCCATGCATACTGTATACATACATGGCACGCCCCCGGTGCCGCCCTCTTGCGTGTGAGAAATTCTGGATTTTGACGACATGGCGAGACAGAAGCAAGGCCATTAGAAAACTGAAATTAGATTCATAAATCCGAACTTGAACTCTGGTTCAAGATCCAAGATGGTCAGGACACTTTTCCTCTTGGATTCTCGGCTGGCCCCCTGAAATTCTAAATCCAGGAGTTGTTCTCAAAGATTTGAACAACTGTTTGAGTCAAAATTATCCAAAACCAGCTTCTTGGACACATCAACCGATTTTCCTTTCTCTTAGCGAAATCCATTGGCGCCTCTTGAGGCAGGACCAGAAAGGCAAAAAAGGACAGCCCAGTAAGGTGACAGGAATGTCTTTGCCCCTGTGCAGGCGCTGTTGTCGGGGGTCCCATGTAAAGAACCATCATGTAAAGAACCATCATGTAAAGAACCATCCATACTATGGTTTCTTCTTTGGTGTCCTTTTGTTTTCCCTTTGCAAGCATCCAACAATGAGGTTCCCTATTTCAAACAAATACTCGCATCGCTACATCGATCCAAATTGAGCTGCCAGAATTGGGTGATTCAACAAAGGGATCTCCTTGGAAGGGGGTCAGGTCGCATGAACGCATTTGATTTGGTTTGATAATGTTAGCCCCGGATTAATAAGCCCCTGGTTGATTTTGATTGGGGGGTGTCCCCTTTTAGTGATCACTTTTGGAGGGAACACCCCCCTAATAGTGGGACGGGTTTATTAATCCGGGGTCAACGTTACCTGCTTTCAAGCGCAGGCAGAGCTTCTGGCAAGGCTGCTTTCCCATGTAGATTGAAGTTCTACGTTCGGTTGTTCTTGGTTGAGGGTTCAACCTTTAGAAACACAACCCTTTCCTCAGACACTGCTGCGCCAATTGGTGTATCGCAATATTCGAAGGGCCTCATCCATCTCAAGTGCATAATTTTGTCCATCCACAATAGAACACGCTCATAACTCATAAACAGTTGAACTTTTGCGGGAGTCAAAGAACGACTGTACCCCCCACAACCTGTGAGTATGCTTACGGGCGCGTGTCAACACATGAACTTATTGTCTTGCTCACCCAGTAACTGAACTTTCTCATTTTTGTTGCTGAACTTTCCACTCGGAACCTTAACCAACAGGAAGGCGGATAGGGAACAGACTGTCCAGTAAACTACGAAACCAGCGCGGAAAAACACGCCCTGCATCCGCGAAAATCGCGTCTCCCGGGTCGGCCTCGTCAGTGCGCGACCACAAAGGATCGCCCTAAGACTTGAGGCATCGAAGCATCCGCAGCCTCTGTGGTGCGACTAGCGAGTCTCTGGGTCTCTGTGTCTCTGGGGCTCTCTCTGTGTCCGTGTCTTCATGTTTGTGTGGTGTGTGGTGTTGTGTGGTGTTGTGTGGTGTTATGTGGTGTTGTGCAAACCTGGGACGGGGCACCGATTCCGCTTCGGTGATCAAAAGGGCGGCTGCACCAAATTATGCTTGGGATCGGCCCTTAACTGTTATTTACCCGGGTTTTGGACTGTGGCTCGAGTGCCCTCTTGCACCAGCAGGGTTGCTGATGTGCTGGCAAACAACAAATAGTTCAACGCATTCATTGCCTAGAGTTGAGAAGTTCGCCAGGCGGAACCATCAACCCATCAAGTCTACCCAACCACCCAAGGATGGATAGAATAATCTAGGGGTGCCTTCCCCACTCTTTCCAGGCATCATTATTTCTAAAAAGCCACCCAAAACCCTGGGGAGACAGCTGGTTTTTGAAAAGAACGATGGTTGAATAGAATGGGGAACCAACCCCTAGAAATAAGCAGAGCCCGACAGACCAGCATGCCAAAGGCCCCCCATGT